AGGGCCTAGTAACACCTTCTCCTGTATAAATTACTAAATTTGAAAAGAGAAACTTTCATTTTTCTTTTTGGGCCACCCTGCCTCGGTGGGATACGGCCGGTTTGTTGAAAAAAAAAAATATATTTGCATGGGAGCAAGGGCCTAGTAACCCCTTCTCCCGTATAAATTACTAAATTTAAAAAGAGAAACTTTCATTTTTCTTTTTGGGCCACCCTGGAGTTTACCTGGAGAGAGTTCAGGGGGTCAACGCCCCCGCAGCCCGGTCTGTGACCAGGCCTCCTGGTGGATCAGAGCCTGATCAACCAGGCTGTTACTGCTGGCTGCACACAAACCAACGTACGAGCCACAGCCCGGCTGGTCAGGAACCGACTTTAGGTGCTTGTCCAGTGCCAGCTTGAAGACTGCCAGGGGTCTGTTGGTAATCCCCCTTATGTATGCTGGGAGGCAGTTGAACAGTCTCGGGCCCCTGACACTTATAGTATGGTCTCTTAACATGCTAGTGACACCTCTGCTTTTCATTGGGGGGATGTTGCATCGTCTGCCAAGTCTTTTGCTTTTGTAGTGAGTGATTTTCGTGTGAAAGTTCGGTACTAGTCCCTCTAGGATTTTCCAGGTGTATATAATCATGTATCTCTCCCGCCTGCGTTCCAGGGAATACAGGTTCAGGAACCTCAAGCGCTCCCAGTAATTGAGGTGTTTTATCTCCGTTATGCGTGCTGTGAAGGTTCTCTGTACATTTTCTAGGTCAGCAATTTCACCTGCCTTGAAAGGTGCTGTTAGTGTGCAGCAATATTCCAGCCTAGATAGAACAAGTGACCTGAAGAGTGGGATACGGCCAATTTGTTGAAAAAAAAAATATATATATATATATACACATATATACACACACAGTGTTTTTGGCTCTGCTTTTAAATGGGAATTTGTTGAAAAGTGTGAAATTAGAAAAACTGCCAATATAATGGATAATTGGGAAAGCATACTAAGAAAATAGCAAGGAATTGGGTCAGTTTGAGTACTGCAATTGACCAAAAACATGCCTCAAAATATGCAAAATTGCAGTTGTGTAAAGTGATCCCAACCTCCAACTTCATACCTGCATAAATCAACAAGTTTTACATCAAATTTTGCATTTTTGGTGTCACTATAAAAGGATTCTCTACGATTTTAGAACGTATTTTTTTCATTTTAAATGGTGACTGTTACGGAGTACTATAGAAAAATATTTATATAAAATAATGCTCCATATATAATGTCATTTTCCTTGTAGTATACTGAAAGCGGGCGTGTGTTATTCCCTGAAAGCAAACACGTTTTATTCCTGTCAGTCAGGCAGTGGCCAGGACAGGAGAGGTGTGTTTAGTTCAGTACAAGTTGGGTGGTGACGGGAGAAAAGTTGTCATGTTTGGGCAGTAGTTTAAGTAGGTAATTTTGAAAAGTTTTTTTAGCATATACCATAGGTGCTTGTATTTTAGTGCTCTCATGTTTATTTGTAAAGTCCTAGTATACAGGGGCCTGTGTTTTGGAGAGTATTTAACATTTTCACTGTAGGCTATGTAGCCTGCAGCAAGGGGGGGGGAAGGGTATCATGGAGCCTCCTTGCTCATAAATGTTCATTTATTTTAATTCATAAGTAGCAGTGTGCTAGCGAGTTAATGTGAAATGGAGTGTGGTGGTTTTTTGTAGTAGTTATAAGTTGTATTTAAGTTACTACTATTAATATAGACATATTTTTATATAGGTGAGTTTTTGTCCTTCCTTCCATATACTATATTAATTATTTGCACTCATGCTTCATTATTTAAACCCTTAAACTGTACAAACGTAAACCTACGTCCACATGCGTAGCGCTCAGTATGTAAATCTACTATCAATTTTACATTATGTAAAAAAAAAGAACGTACACGATCTGAGCGATCTACGTAGACGTAGATCTTCGTATACAGTGGACCCTCGACTAACGAGGGCATCGTGTAACGTTAAATCTGACTAGCGATACATTTTAACACAAAAATTTTGCCTCGACTAGCGCTAAAAAACTTGACCAACGTGCTTCGTTCCATTCCGTTTGAGACGCGTCCACTTGTGGCCTGAGCGCGCCTCACTTGTCCCTTGGGTGCCAGTATTTACAAGCAGCCAGCTACCGCGGTCCCATCCAAACATACAATCGGAACATTTCATATTATCACAGGGTTTTTAGTGATTTCACCTGCAAAATAAGTCACCATGGGCCCCAAGAAAGCTTCTAGTGCCAACCCTGTGGTAAAAAGGGCGAGAAATACTATCGTACCACAGTCAGCTGCTGCTGCACCACGGTCACCTGTTGCTGGACCAGTCAGCTGTTGCTGGGTCAGTCAGCTGCTGCCGCACCACGGTCAGCTGTTGCTGGACCAGTCAGCTGTTGCTGGATCAGTCAGCTGTTGTTGCACCATAGTAAGCTGTTGCTGGACCAGTCAGCTGTTGCTGGATCAGTCAGCTGTTGCTGGACCAGTCAGCTGTTGCTGCACCACAGTCAGCTGTTGTTGGACCAGTCACCTGTTGCTGTACCATGGTCAGCTGTTGCTGGACCACGTCAGCTGTTGCTGGACCAGTCAGCTGTTGCTGCACCACGGTCAGCTGTTGCTGGACCAGTCAGCTGTTGCTGCACCACGGTCAGCTGTTGCTGGACCAGTCAGCTGTTGCTGGATCAATCAGCTGTTGCTGCACCACAGTCAGCTGTTGCTGTTGCTGCACCACCATCAGCTGTATTACTCGAAGATGTGGAGTGTGTGTTGTTGGTGTGGCTTACCGAGAAACGATTAACCCCAAAGGGGTAGCCACCCAGGATAACCCAAGAAAGTCAGTGCATCATCGAGGATTGTCTAACTTATTTCCATTGGGGTCCTTAATCTTGTCCCCCAGGATGCAACCAACAACAGTTGACTAACACCCAGGTGAACAGGAAAAAATGCCTGGAACTAGTGCTCATATTGGTGAATTTAAGGCCAGCAAAGGTTGGTTTGAGAGATTTAAGAATTGTAGTGGCATACACAGTGTGATAATGCATGGTGAAGCGGAAAAATTCCAATCCCAACAAGTGTTCACTTGTGACGAAACAGGCCTGTTCTGGAAGGAAATGCTAAACAGGACCTACATTACTCAGGAGGAAAAGGCACTCCCAGGACATAAGCCATTAGGACTTGACACCTCAAGTCCTAATGGAAGGGGATTCCCCTTCTAAACACTAACACCATCCACACTCTCCCCTCCTCCCATCCCATCAATCATCACCAGATCTTCAATAAAGGTAAGTATCATGTAATTGTACATGTCTTCTTCAGTTTGTGTGTATTAAAATTAATATTTCATGTGGTAAAAATTTTTTTTTTCATGCTTTGGGGTGTCTTGCACGGATTAATTTGATTTCCATTATTTCTTATGGGGAAAATTAACTTGACTAATGATAATTTTGACTAACGATGAGCTCTCAGGAACGGATTAATAGCATTAGTCAAGGGTCCACTGTATATACGTTCTCTCCCCCAGTGCCCCGAATATTTTGAAAAATAAAAAAATCTTTTTTTTTTTTCATTGAAAGAGAAAAATTTTCTAAGAGTTATAGGATTAAAATAAAAAATTAGGGTCAGTACTTACTGAGATATGAGGCTGCAAAGTTGGCACTTAATGCTTACCTGACTGTAACATCAAGTCCTGCCGCTTGAGGAAGTGTTGCTGATAAACCACTTTTTCTCATTTCTATATTATAGTATTTTATATAATTTTTATGTTATGATAATTACAATTTATTATAGTTCTTGGCATTTCATAACCAATCTTTGTTCCGACACTAATATTAGGTACTGAAATTGTACTCAAATTGTCACAGACACATGCCTTGGTCATTTACTATTGTCTAGGAATATATACAAAGTATTTATAGGTCCCAGCAATGTTTTGGATACACGGGAGTATAGAAGAAGGAAGGAGGAGGAAGAAGGAAGGAAGGAGGAAGGAGGAGGAGGAAGGAGGAAGGAGGAGAAGGAAGAAGGAAGAAGTTCCCTTGAAGCAATGTGACAAGCATCCAGGAGGGCAATGATGAGATATGGAATGACATTTGATGGGTGCCAGCAAGGGTACAGAGATAAGATGAGATAAGCTATGACATTTGATGGGCGCCAGCGAGAGTGCAGAGATAAGGGATGACATTAGATTAGCTCATATCTCTGTCTCTGATTATCTGTCTCTCTGTCTTGTCTCTTTCCATCTCTGCTTGTCTCTCTCTGTCTCAGAGAGAGCCACTGTGAACCAACAGGTATTCTTTTGCATTATATCTACAAGCACTGTATAGCACTTCGGATTTTTTTTAGGTTATTCTAGGTAATTTACATTATGTATAATTGTATGTGTGAACCTGTGAGACAGATAAAAAGAGACAGAGACAGTTAGACAGAGATAGAGATAGACAGACCCTAAACTTGGGGTTAACATCACTTTCCTCTTAAAAGGGAAGTGTTAATATGACATTACATCAGTGAATCCTTGGTGTTTGCTGCACTGTTTGCTCGAGCTGGCTCTCAATTTAACTGGCGCTCCCACAAAATACAAAGTGGTCCCAGATTTTTTTAATATGGTGCACACTGAGTGCTAAGACCCATTCTATGCTGACCAGGGATCTCAGGCCAATCGTGCCAAATTTGGAGGCAGAAAAATTAAAACATAAATATACGTTTGGGGCGCTGGCGGTAAGAACGTATATATACGTTTGGACTGTTTAGGGGTTAAGGGTTAATATGAGTGCATGCTGGTCCAAGGTTTGCTGTCTTTTTTTCAAAGTAATTTTATAACCCCTAGACAGCAGTGTGAACAGCCTTCAGGAGCCAGGAACATTTTATTTAAGTTACGACATCAAAGTCGTAACAGTGACACAGATGGGGCTTTGACTTGGAGGGACGTCAACAGTGAGAGTGTTAAGAGTTTACAAAATACATAAGAAAATTTCTTGATTAAAGTATAGTGTCACTGACCTCTTCATCCTTCAAAAATGTACAAACAGAAAAAGGCAGCGCTTGATTTGCAAGTGCCCTGGCAGCCCTGCCATGTACACGTAGAATTTCCTGTTCAACACTCAACACCAGTTTCTCTTTCTCTATAAGATGCTGCAAGTAAATGTTATCAATGAACAAATATTACTTAAATAAGAACATGGTTCTCTAACACACTTTTTATACTAATAAAGAAAATTTGACCTTAGGGCAATTTCCTGAAAAATAATACAGGAGTGTTAGAAATACTGGGGATCAAAAGTACTTAAGGGCATCTATAACATTCATCTACCAGTAAGAACAAGTATATACATCAATATAAATTTGTTAAAAATCCTTAAACCTATGATTAGCTCTGAAATACTGTTCTACACTAAATCTGTTATTTGGAAATTTTGCAAAATCAATTTAAATTTTTTATTTCAGAATAATCTCTGAAATTTTTTTTCTCAACAAGAGAAAATTGAGCTTTATTAAAAAAAAGATTATTGAAAGAATGAATTTGATCCCCTCAGTGATGTATGGTTACTGTGGGACATACCTTCAGTTTGTTCAGTTATAAGCAGTAGTGCTTAATGTGTTGTTCCTTGTAAGGTGGAAAGTCACCACATTACGGAAAAAAAAAGGTAGAGGGGAAAGAAAGGAGTGCAATAAGGTGTAAGATGGAATGCAGTGGAGGCAAGAAAAGTGGATGAGGAAGAAGAGGTAGTATCCTTGAAAGATAAGCAAGATTCTATTGATGTATACTGCTCAATTTTTTTTTACTTTTACCATTTCCCTGAGCATCCAATCATCCATGGTATTTTGTATTCAGTCTTCCTTTCCTATATAGATTCACAACTTCACTTTTATTACAGCTTAACTCAAGTAACTATTAATTCATTGCAGAAATCTGTTTTCGTATTCATACAACCGTATATACTGCGTGTGCTCATTATTTTTATACATATTATTTAGAAACAATTGCATCAGACATTTTCCCCCAAAGCTTAGGTGACCCAAAGAAAACACATTTACAATCACTCTTTCTCTAGCTCTCAGTAAACTTATTCCCTTATAAATTTTACAATCTCTTTTGTCCCCCTTCCATAAAGGAACTACACACATACTCTGCCAATCCCTAGATACCTCCCCCTCTTTCACACATTTAGTGAACAAAAATACCAACCACTCCAACACTATCTTCCCCTGTGTTTAACATTTCTGTCGTGATCCCATCAGTTCCAGCTGCTTTACCCCTTTCATTCTACGTAATGCCACATGCACCTCCCCCCACTCTCACAAGTGGCTGTTCTTCACTCTAAAAGATATTATACCTCCCTGGCCGGTGCATGAAATTTCTGCCTCCCCCTCGTCATCAACATTTAAAAGTTCCTCAAAATATTCCTGCCATCTTCCCAATACCTCCAACTCCCCTAACTTCCCTAGGCTTTCTTAACCTGTTTAGCTCACTTAAATTTTTTTTCTTATTCTGAGCAAAATTTGTTGACAGTGCCTCACCTACTCTATCATTTGCTCTCCCTTTGCACTCTCTTCACCTTTCTTTTACTCTCCATATACTCTGCCCTTCTTATATTACTTCTGCTTTGTAAAAACCTCTCATATAAGACCTTTTTCTCTTGTATCGCACCCTTTACTTCATCATTCCACCAATCACTTCTCTTTCCTCCTACACCCACAAACTGCTGCCCCACATTCTAACATTGCATTTTTAAAACTATCCCACCCCTCTTCAACCCCCACACTACCTACACTCGCACTAGCCCACTTTTCTGGCAATAACTGCTTACATCTCATCCTAATTTCCTCCTCCCTTAGTTTATAAACTTTCACCTATCTCTTACCTGCAGTTGCCATTTGCCTTTTGCCCTATCTATCTCTTACTCTAATTGTAGCTACAACTAAATAATGATCTAATACATCTGTTGTCCCTCTATAAACATGCACATTCTGGAGCCTACCCATCAACCTTTTATCCACCAATACATAATCTAACAAACCACTTTCATTATGTGCTATATCAAGTATACTTATTTATCATCTTTTTCATAAAATAGGTATTACCTATTACCAAACCTCTTTCTACACACATTTCAATTAAAGCCACCACCCCCCCATTTTAATTTACCCCTGCCACCTGAAATTTACCTACTACTCCCTCCACAACATTTTTACCCACTTTAGCATTTTGGTCCCCATCCACAAGTACTCTCTCACCTGGTTCAAAACTCCCCATGCACTCATTCAACATTTCCCAAAATCTCTCTCTCTCTCTCCTCTACATTTCTCTCTTCTCCAGGTGCATAAACACTTAATATAACCCACTTTTCACATACAACCTTTATTTTACTCCACATAATCCTTGAATTCATATATTTATATTCCCTCTTCTCCTCCCACAACTTACCCTTCAACCTTATTGCTACTTCTTCCTTAGCTCCAACTCTATTAGAAACCCGTGACCTAATCCCATTTACTTCTCCCCACTAAAACTCTCCTACCCTGTTCAGCTTTGTTTCACTTAAAGCCAGGACATCCAGCTTCTTTTCATTCATAACATCCGCAATCATCTCTTTCTTATCATTCGCACCACATCCACACACACACTCAAACATCTCACTTTGACAGTTGTCTTATTTTTAGTAAGCTTTACGGGAAAAGGGGTTACTAGCTCATTGCTCCCAGCATTATTACAACACAACTGGCTTAGTAGGTAGTAGGTTGGTAGACAGCAACCACCCAGGCAGGTACTACCGTCCTGCCAAGTGAGTGTAAAACGAAAGCCTGTAATTGTTTTACATGATGGTAGGATTGCTGGTGTCTTTTGTCTGTCTCATAAATATGCAAGATTACAGGTATGTCTTGCTACTTCTACTTTCACTTAAGTCACACTACACATACATGTACACGTTTATTTATACACACTCATCTGAGTTTTCTTTGATTTTATCTTAATAGTTCTTGGTCTTATTACTTTTTCTTTTATATCCATGGGGAAGTGGAATAAGAATTTTTCCTCCATAAGCCATGCGTGTTGTAAAAGTCAACTAAAATGAGGGGAACAATGGGCTAGTAACCCCTTTTCCTGTAAAGATTACTAAAAAGAATAAGAAGAAGAAAATTGTCAAAGTGGGAAGTCTGAATGTGCGTGGATGTTGTGCAAATGATAAGAGATGATTGTGGATGCTATGAATGAGAAGCTGGATGTCCTGGCTTTAAGTGAAACAAAGCTGAAGGGGGTGGGAGAGTTTCAGTGGAGAGGAATAAATGGGATTAGGTCAGGGGTTTCAAATAGAGTTAGAGCTAAAGAAGGAGTAGCAATAATGTTGAAGGATAAGCTATGGCAGGAAAAGAGGGACTATAAATGTATTAATTCAAGGATTATGTGGAGTAAAATAAAGGTTGGATGTGAAAAGTGGGTTATAGTAAGCGAACATGCACCTGGAGAAGAGAGAGGTGTAGAAGAGAGAGAGAGATTTTGGGAAATGTTCAGTGAATGCGTGGGGAGTTTTGAACCAACGTGAGAGTACTTGTGGTTGGGGATTTCAATGCTAAAGTGGGTAAAAATGTTATGGAGGGAGTAGTAGGTAAATTTGGGGTGCCAGGGGTAAATGTAAATGGGGAGCCTTTAATTCAGCTATGTGTAGAAAGAAATTTGGTAATAAGTAATACATATTTTATGAAAAAGAGGATAAATAAATATACAAGGTATGATGTAGCACGTAATGAAAGTAGTTTGTTAGATTATATATTGGTGGATAAAAGGTTGATGGGTAGGCTCCAGGATGTACATGTTTATAGAGGGGCAACTGATATTGGCAGTTTGGAGGGATATGTTGTGTATCTTTATACGTATATGCTTCTAAACTGTTGTATTCTGAGCACCTCTGCAAAAACAGTGATAATGTGTGTGTGTGGTGAAAGTGTTGAATGATGATGAAAGCATTTTCTTTTTGGGGATTTTCTTTCTTTTTTGGGTCACCCTGCCTCGGTGGGAGACAGCCGACTTGTTGAAAAAAAAAAAACTGATATATCAAATCATTATTTAGTTGTAGCTACAGTTAGAGTATGAGGTAGATGGGACAAGCGGAAGGTGGCAACAACAAGTAAGAGGGAGGTGAAAGTGTATAAAATAAGGGAGAAGGCAGTTCGGGTGAGATATTAGCGACTATTGGCAGAAAGGTGGGCTAGTGCAAAGATGAGTAGTGGGGGGGTTGAAGAGGGTTGGAATAGTTTTAAAAATGCAGTATTAGAATGTGAGGCAGAAGTCTGTGGTTATAGGAGGGTGGGGGCAGGAGGAAAGAGGAGTGATTGGTGGAATGAAGTAAACAGTGTGATAAAAGAGAAAAAGTTAGCTCATAAGAGGTTTTTACAAAGCAGAAGTGTTATAAGAAGAGCAGAGTATATGGAGAGTAAAAGAAAGGTGAAGAGAGTGTTGAGAGAGTGCAAAAGGAGAGCAGATGATAGAGTGGGAGAGGCACTGTCAAGAAATTTTAATGAAAATTAGAAAAAATTTTTGAGTTAAACAAGTTAAGAAAGCCTAGGGAACGTATGGATTTGTCAGTTAAAAACAGAGTAGGAGAGTTAGTAGATGGGGAGATGGAGGTACAGGTAGATGGCGAGAATATTTTGAGGAACTTTTAAATGTTGAGGAAGGGAGGTGGTAATGTCATGCACTGGCCAGGGAGGTATACCAACTTTTAGGAGTGAAGAAGAGCAGAATGTAAGTGTGGGGGAGGTACGCGAGGCATTAAGTAGAATGAAAGGAGGTAAAGCAGCCGGACCTGATGGGATCATGACAGAAATGTTAAAAGCAGGGGGGGATATAGTGTTGGAGTGGTTGGTACTTTTGTTTAATAAATGTATGAAAGAGGGGAAGGTACCTAGGGATTGGCAGAGAGCATGTAAAAATTATAGAGGAATAAGTTTACTGAGTATACCAGGAAAAGTGTATGGTAGGGTTATAATTGAAAGAATTAGAGGTAAGACAGAATGTAGGACTGCAGATGAGCAAGGAGGTTTTAGAGTGGGTAGGGGATGTGTAGATCAAGTGTTTACATTGAAGCATATATGTGAACAGTATTTAGATAAAGGTAGGGAAGTTTTTATTGCAT